AAGATCATTGCGTCCAGCCCCCCTGCACCAAGCAGGATGGGTGTATAGGCAATGCATCATGAAGATCTCCAATTTCTATATGGTAAATTATTATGGTCTTCTGCTCTACCCTGATCCCATAGGGAATCCTAAAATCCTCTGCACTGAATGAATGGAAAAACTGTTTTCTCCTGGTTCCCCAAAGAAATCCATATGAATAAGGTTTTTTTCTTCTTTTTTTTTTTAACAATAAAGTGCAAATGCATAAATAAGATATTCTGTAAAGCAATCATATGTATTCACATTATGCAAGTAAAGTAGTCACCCACAGCCTGAGTTATTGCTGTGATGAAGTGTGGTGTTTGATGAGAAGTGTAGTTTATGCTCCCAGCAATGGACCAGTGTTTTGGGGCATTCCTCCAGCAGGATTTCTACAATGTGTTGAGGTCCCTTGCTCCAAAAAGTGAACTTTGTATGGTCCCTTCCCATATCACTGGCCCATAATGTTTTAGAATCAGTGTGCAGTAGGTTCAGAGGAACTGTTGCATGTCTGAATATGAATAAGTTTCAACACCAGGTCTCAAGCAATTGAGAAGATAACTACTGTATATTGACTTTAATTCTGGTTGGAGTTTTTTTTATATACTTTATATAACTTCATTGGTATAGTTTTGCTCATTGAAAGAAGAGATGATCATTATTGAGGAATGTGTTTTAAGTACAGCAATGTAGGAACGTTTGCTTATTTGCGTTCCCATTTGTTATTCATCTTGTTTTAATTTGCTTTTTAAAAATACTGCCTTCAAGATCTTGATTGATTCCACTGCCCTTATTAAATCTCTTCATAGATTATTCTTGATGAGCCATAGGAAAAGCACCTTTCCTGCATGTTCTTCTGGCATGTGAGGTAGTTTTGATCACAGACTGGAAGGGGGAGGAGTTCAAGCTTGCAATGTAAATACCTAGGAGTGGAGCAGTATAAAGTTACACCTGAGAAATCTCACAGTTGAAGCAGGCTGCTCACAAATGGCTGTCCCAAGGTCTCTCTTAGTTCTCGAGAACTTCATAGCTGGTAAATTTGTTCCCTGCTCCTCTTACTTAGATTCCTATGATCCGTCCACAGGAGAAGTGTATTGCAGAGTGCCAGACAGTGGCAAAGAGGAGGTGAGTACTTATTCCAGTTTTACCAGAAGATGATGTGGAAAAAAATGTAATTACAAATGACATCAATGCAGTTGTGTGTGCAGTAGAAGGTGAGACCAGGAAAATGCCAAATAAATAAGCTCTTTGGTTACTTGACCTTAGTAACATTATTGCTCCAGCAGCTCTTCCTCTTTACGCTTTGCTGTTTGAAGCTGTGGGCTCGATCTTCATTGCGTGTAAATTAGTATAACCGCAGTTATTTCAGTCCTAGCCCAGTCCTGTAGAATGGGAGTTGCAAGAAATGGTCACACCATAGTTTTTAGATGCATGAATTATAGTGGAGCCAAGAAAAAACATCTGTTAATCTCTCTCCCGAGAACAGCCCTTGAACGACTGTATCCAAGTATAAATGTTCTCAGTATCTAATGTTAGTTTTTGCCCTCTCCCTGCAATTAAAAAAAACCAAACAAACTTTGCGTACCTGGGTTCTTCCCTGATCAAAATCTTCCAGTTCTCCCAAAGTCTGATCTCTGCAGCTGGATGTTTGCCATATGGAACAATGACATTGCAGGCAAAAAAAAATACTGATGTGGCTTCATAAATGTGCATTTGTGTACAGTGTAGTGACCTTATCCAATCAAGACCATAAATGCAACGCAGTTCAGCCCTAAGACTAATCTTTGGGTGCATATTTCTTGCCACTGTACGATCAATTGTGTAATGGCAACAACCCCTTCATATGGATAGCTAAGAAGCAAAGAGGTGTGTATGATGGGGAGTGCATCGGAGTCATCGAGGAGGCAGTTGATCAGGAAAAAAGGTATACACAAAAGGCTTTGAAGATGTTAGCTAATGTTCAACTGTTTCATTTTTAATACAACTCGTCTGTTATGAAAAGGCCGAATACTGTGTCAAAATAAACCTTTCCTTATTTTGCTGCTATTGATTTCTTTCATTTGCCTTTTCAGCAGAAACCTTGTACTGTCATTTGGGTAAATATTTACTAGGTGTTGATAACCAAGAGTTAAAGTGTAACCAGGTTGGGTTTGGTAGAATATGTTTAATTTGCTCAAAGCAGTCCAAAACTAGCTGTGCTTGAAAGGTTTTATACACTAATCCCCTTTCTGCTTATTTACATAAGTAAATTCATAAAAATAGGGAGATGTGAGACATAGGTAAAAAGGGCCTAAAAAAGTAGACTATTGAGCAGTTAAATTCCACTCATGTTAAGTGTGAGGGTAATCCATATTGGAAGACAGTGTTACATCTCATCCAATTTTCTCAGTCAGCTGCTGCATACAGCTTAGGGATGTGTGAAGTTGTGTGCTCAGAGCTGTAGCTAGCAAGCAAAACAAATTGTAGGATATTGCATAGAGCTGGAAGTCAGGAGGGAAGACTTTCTCCCCAGACATATACAGAAGCCTATGTACAAATGTTCAAAAAGCTAGCAACACACCTCATAACTCCAAAGCAGGTTGTTTCTCATCATCCATACTTGAGATGGAAAACCAAGGCAAACAAAACCATTTTGTTCCAAAGGCTTTTGTCTCCATCTGTTTTTCAATACAGACTCAAGCTCAGTTTACTATGGATAGTTTTGGTAACATTTTGGTATCAAACCTTATTTACTTGTTTTAGAGTTCAACTTTCTCTGTGTTTTTTAATTTATTTCTTGTTTGGCCAAAGAAGGCAGTGAGAAGTTGTTTTAAATGAACACATGTTTATAATTTTCTTTCCTTGCTTAACTGAAGCATCTGTTTTCCCTCTTTCTCGTGTCTGCTTTCCTTCCCTCTGCTTTCCCCAACTCTGTCTCCATTCCCATTCCTGGAGAGTCTGGTGCCTCTCCATCCTGTTATTTTCTGTCTTTTCCTAGCCAGTGAGAATCCTACGATAGCCCTCAGACTCCATCCTTCCAAAAATCACTGGCATTTTACAAAGGGGAATCTGCTGCTCCTGTTCCAGAGGGTAATTCGTTCTAAATGGGGCATCAGCTCTGGGCTGAATTGCAGAGCCTGGTGTGGAAGTGGCAGCGAAAAGGGGGGGAGAAGCAGTAGTACAATGTCACCTAATGGTTGCAGCATAGAAGAGCAAGCAATTAAAATGGGCGAAGGAGGAAGAAGCACTATGGCCTAATAAATGACAAGGTCAGAGAACAGGGTTATATTCCTTTTGGGGCTAGTTACCTATTGTGTGACTTTAAGGGCAAAGAGGTGAAATGCCCAGATTCACCTATGCCCAGCCTTTTATTTAAATTGTAAATTCATCTTCTGTCTGCAATGGATGGATTGAAAACAGTACACTTTTATGCAAGACTTATTTGGGAAATAAATACTGCAAGTCTGACGTGCCCAGTCATAAAGGATCATTAGAAATAAAGATTTTTCTAACAAGGTTTTGTACCCATTATGTGTTAACTGGCCTCATTTGATAGATAATGTGATTATAGCACCAGACTAGAGATTGGTGGACACTTAGGAACCCACGAACATGAGCTGCTTAATTATATTCAATTCATACAAAAAAACCCCAGTCATAACTAATAATATATATCCTTCATTTTAAAAAGAGGTTAATATATAAAAGCTGAGAAGTGTTAGGGGGACAGTACACTGGGTGGAAATATTTAGGCAGAAAAATATGAATGGAAATTGTTACTTTTGGGGGCTGAGTTGATTTGGTGGCCAATAAACAGTCGAGAAAGAACAAGTTTGGGGAAAAAGTGGTCCAGTGCTGAAGTTATAGAACCAGTTAGAAATGAAAACAAAAACAAAATATAAAAAATGGCAACTGGGAAAAGACAAAGAAATTAATCACAAGTTAGAAAGTGTAGAATATTGATAATGGAAGCTAACGACACTGGAGACAAATTTATACTGATAAGGATAAAAGGCAAAAAGGTTTTTTTTTCCTTCCTTTTATTTTTTTTATTATTTGCAGAATAGAAGAAATCTTAAACATGGTATAGATGGATTAATAAATTTAAATGTTAACAGTATTAATAATGATGCTGCAGAAAGGACAAAAGGTATTTAAAATGTCTGTTGTGTTTTTGGGAAGAGTCGAGATGAGTTGTTTGTATCACATGAGAATCAATTGCCCTTCTAGTGCATTAGTAAGCATGGAGGAGGTTAAATGTTTCCTAGCAGTAAACAATTTTTAATCTTCTAAACGAGTTTGCAAAGGAGCTATCTAGCCTTTTGTTAATGTTTAATCATGAAATACAGGGAAATTTCAAAAGAGTGCTAATGCGCCAATATTCAGAAAGGGCAGTTGGGAATTACCATAGGCTGGCTAGAATGGCATCTATCCTAAATTTTGGTGAAGTTGATTCAACTGAATCAAAAAAGAGTAGGAATATAATAAATGCCACTTATTGTGGTTTTATGAAAAATGATTATCGTCAGACAAACCTAATTGCATCCTTTGATGATATAAAATTTTGCTTGAGGTGCACATCATTCTAAACAGCCTATAGTTCTCCCCACCGTAGTACTGCCACACTAGTCAGGTTATCTGTCATTCTTCTTTGTTAAGCTTAGCCCTGGCCACTTTGAGACAGGATTTTGAACTAGATGGGCCCCTGATCTGATGTGGTATAGGCAATTCCTATTTTCCTAGAAAGATGGCCTTGAATGGGAAGGAGTTTAGAGAATGGGGACCACAGTCGTGAACCAGATGGAAAGATTGAAACGTAAGAAAGATACTAAGGAACTAAATCTATTTAATACGGACAAGTGCAGGGTGCTGCACTTGGGCAGTAGGAACCAGCAGCACACTTACACAATGGGGAACTCCCTACTTGAGAGCACGGAGGCAGAAAGAAATCTTGGAGTCATTATTGACTCCAAGATGAACATGGGCCGACAATGCGAGGTCATGGTTGGCAGGGCTAACCGGACCTTGTCGTGCATCCACAGGCTCATCTCGAGTAGAGCCAGGGAGGTGATCCTCCCCCTCTACGCGACGCTGGTCAGGCCACAGCTGGAGTATTGTGTCCAGTTCTGTGCGCCCCATTTCAAGAGGGATGTGGACAACATGGAGAGGGTCCAGAGGAGGGCCACCCGCATGATCCGGGGACAACAGGGCAGACCCTACAGTGAGAGACTGCGGGACCTGAACCTATTCAGCCTCCACAAGAGAAGGCTGAGGGGGGACCTGGTGACCGTCTATAAACTCACTAGGGGGGACCAGAAGGGTTTGGGGGAGACGCTGTTTCCCCTAGCGCCCGCTGGCATAACAAGGAGTAATGGGCACAAGTTGATGGAGAGGAGGTATAGATTGGACATCCGCAAAAACTACTTCACAGTTAGGGCGGCTAGGAGCTGGAACCAACTTCCAAGGGAAGTGGTGCTGGCCCCTACCCTGGGGGTCTTTAAGAAGAGGCTGGATGCCTACCTGGCTGGACTCATTTGAGTCCCGTTTCTTGTTTTGGGGTTTTGTTGTTCTCCCGCCCTGGCGGGGGGTCAGGCTAGAAGATCTATTAGGTCCCTTCCGACCCTAAATCTATGAAACTATGAAACTAGTATGATTAAATGATTGGTGCAGGAGGAAAAAGGGATTAGGCTGTAAACACCAAGGAGTAGTAAAAAGGGAGTACAACCAGAAGAAGTATCAATAAGTGGAAGAGAACATAAAGAAGCTACACCCTCGGAACAATACCTGTTAGGCTGTGGGACTGTTTCTTGAGAACAGTAATAGAATCTATAAATGGTTATAATGCTGGAGAATATAATGCAGGAACAGCCTTTTGCAGGGACCTAATGATCTAGATCGCTAGTATCAATAGCTATTTGACTCTTTTTCTTTCTAAAGCAGTCTGAAATTTGCGACATCTGCTTTGGTTTTCCAGGTGGAAGCTGCAGTCAGTGCTGCCAGAGATGCCTTTCCATCCTGGTCATCTAAAAGCCCTTGGGAAAGATCTCAGATAATGAGCAAGTTAGCAGATTTGATTGAGCAGGAGCTCGAGGCATTTGCACAAGCAGAATCAAAGGATCAGGGTAAAAAATGGAGTTTTGCTAGTGGGTTGTCTGCCCTGTGATAGGGTCTGGGATAGGGAAATGGGGGTCTGGTTAAGACTGAGAAACAAATGCAAAGTCCCATTTTGATTCCAATGCTGGCTGCCCCCCAGCCACTGCTTTTCCTGCCACTTGTCCCCCTGTCATTGTTTTCTCTTCTGTAATGGTGGTGGGGGGAGGGGGGGATTTAAAAGGACCCTCCAAGAACTAGATCCTAGATATGGAAATTGTATAACATTTATAATTTTTCATATCTAGAATCTAATACTTGGGGGGTCATGTTAAATTCAAAATCATCTTGGATTTGGGTAAATACAATAAGTTGGCAGGGTAGGTATTGTCAAGTGTTTTCTTGGCATTGCTGTAAAGGCAGGTTTTAAGGAGGGTTTTGAAGATAATGAGGTATCCTCATATATATTTAGAGAGCAAATCTCCCAGGACTGAGGGGCAACCTGGGTGAAAGCACTGAGGGTGCTTGTTTTTTTGTTTGTTTTAAAGTCTAATGTGGGGTTACAACCACAGACATGGACATGACTACTTTCAAAATTAGCTGCCAGTTTTGAAGACGTCAGCCTCCATGCTTCTGCTTCCCTTCCTGTAGATTGCAGATAATAACTCCGGCAGCACAGAGGCTTTGGGGCCAAATGTATTCATTATCCACAAAACACTCTCAAGGTCTTTAGTGAGAAGACACCAAGAAGAGTATAGCATTGCAAGTCTCATAGAAGTAATACAACTTTTTATTGCACTTGTTGTAGATGCCAGGCATTGTGCATTTTATAATAAACATCATTTTTACTATTTGTGGTGAGCGACTTTCAAATGATCCACCTTTTATCAAAAAGGGGCTTTCGTTTGTGATAAGAGCTGTATCTGCAGCTCCATTTTCATTTAGTAGCACCTCAGAGTTGTCTGGTGTCTGGAATACTTCTCATGCTCGGGGCATTTATAACCCTTTTGTTTTTCTCTTGTGCCAAGTTTATGCTAATGAGATTGCAAAATGCTTGTTGCTTGTCTGTTTTAGGAAAAACCATTACATTTGCTAGAACAGTGGACATCCCTCGGGCAGTGTATAACTTCCGGTTCTTTGCCTCGTCTATTCTTCACCATACTTCAGAGTGCACACAGATGGACCAGATGGGGTGCATGCATTACACCGTGAGAGTCCCTGGA